TAAAATACTTATCCCAAGTGAGTTGAAGAAGTCCTCATTTTGGAAGCCTATTAATCCACGTAACAGGATTGATCTGGATGCCCAATTGAACAATGGATGAGTCAGCAGTAGAAGTAACATTCCTCACTGACTCTTCCCTGTTTCTTTCACAGGTTGAGGGATTTTTACCACAAATAAACCTTCTATTTACACTTCTTGTTAACACTCATAGCACAACCCAATCAGGTTAGTAGCATATAGGATGACAGTTTAAGTTTTTTGATCTACCATCATAATGATTTGGAGAAAGCATTGATTATTAAATTTGACAATGATTTTGTTCACACCTTTTAATTTCCTCAATCTCAATTAGTTGTATTCATTCTTCCCAAATTTTTGAGCTGTATAGATAATTCTTCTGAAATTCATAATATTTCAACTGGGATACCTGGGTAATGGAGATACAAATCAAACAATAAATAGGACAGGCATAGGGCATAAATACAGTCACTGATATATCAATGATGGGGCTGGGATAAGCTGGGCCACCCTGAAGTGGGTTCCTCATCTTTTTTCCTGGTGCTGGTGGCTATTATTTTCTCTTGAAATATGGGGATGTCACAGCTAATTCTAATGATCATCCTCTTTCCATCTTCTGATGTGGTTCTGATGGGCCAAATTTTTCATAAATGTTAGTGATTTCTTTATAACAGCAAGCTGGTGGCTGAGCAGCAAGCTAGCTAGAATGCTAGACTTGAACCATCCTACTCATGCGGCTCATGATTGAAATTTATAAGACTTTAAATCCCATTTCAATGTGCTTGTCTTTTTTTCAAAAATCAAAAGATTGGTACAGATTTAGTGGGGTTTATGATTGAGCTTTTGGATGCTTGTTTTGCTAAAAATACTTTCTTGTTTGTTTACAGCTTGGAAGTTGGCTTTTGCTTGTAGCAAGTGTGTTTTTAACTATTTTTAAGCTTTGCAGCAGGTCATACAGCTGCTGGTTTGGGATAAATGGCTTTATGAGAAATGCCAATCACAAACCCTGCTATTGTTCAGAAACACCAAAATCTGTCCAAGCTCATAAATTTTTTAAAATGTTGCTGAGAAATACCTTAAAATTGGCCTCTAAAAATTTCAAAATTCCAATCATGAACCAGCTCTGGCTCATAGGTAGGACCAACTGCTTGTGCAGGCAATGATAACCTTGTACTGGATTCCATTCAAGCAAAATCTTCTTTGACATGAAGAAAACCCACAGAAATGAATTGCTCCCCATTGAAGTGAATCAAGAGAGAAAACCACCTCAACACAACAGCAACAATTTGACGAAGAATCTTTAAAGGAGAGTCAGGTAGATGAACAAGCAGTGAAATATATTGTTCAAATGTATCCACGGGGTTGAACATCTTCAAAAGTTGATCCAGCCTTCGTCTTGCCAGATTACTGTTGGGCGGTAGAAGTCTGTCCAATATTTCCTTGCTTTCCTTTAATATTCAGACACACCCACCCATGTTGCCGTCTCGCTGGAAGTTCGACCACCTGTGACAATAGGGGTGGAACATCAAAACCGCATACAAATTTTCGGCCATCTACATCTCGCAATACAAATGCTATAGGACAGGTGGAAAGGTTCCTAACGATCCCAGCTTCTCTGTCGCTACACCATTGGAAAGTAACCTTCGCATTGTCACTTGCATGCTTGAAGGTTGCATCAGTGCTGCCCCATGGTGCGATTAGCTTGCCATCAGAAAAGGCCAGAAACGGAGCGAGTTGAACAAAGGGTTCATGCCTAATTAGCGACATTTCACGCCAGTCACTGCTACGAACAGCTTGATGAACAATTTTTTGGGTTCAGCTTGATTTGAGGTTTTTCTCATTTTTGAGTTACAAGTGCTCGTCTGGAGATTGAGTGCTCACCTTCCTCCGTAAATTCCTGGGTACCACTTGCCATCGAGGAAGCAAACCACAAGGCAATCAAGAAAGTATAAGCTTTCATCGTGTTATCGGTTCTAGCTTTTTTTTTCTTGTTTTATTTCAACAGATCGGAAAGGGTAGATGTCAACAAGCACGTATACGATGTAAACACCAAATTCAAAGAAGCGAGTTGTTGCAGGGATTAAAGACAGACACTGGGAAGCTACCTTCTATTCCGTCTAGCTTGATGCTTTGAACCTGCTGAGCGAAGAGTGCGAGGGGCCGAATTGATTAAAATAAACCAGGATATTTATTGCAGAGAAGGCACTGAGTCTAAACAAAGAGGCTGGTCTGATGTCCCGAGGCTTTGGCTATCGCAGGTATATCTGATTTAGCGTGAGGACTCATCCTGGCAGATCGATCAATCGAGTTAAAACGCTAGAGGAGAATTCCAAAGAAAAATTTACTGACATCTGTTTCGGATACACGATCCCAAGAGATTGCAACATGCCCGAGCTAAATTTCGATGGCTCGACCTGCCCAGGTTGAAATTTGCCATGTGCATCTCGTTCTTTTCCAAATCCACAAGGGAGTCTTCTACTCGAGGCTTACGGTTTGAATCAGGTTTCAGGATGGACAGGGACCAACTTCATAGAGTTCATGTCCCTCGAAACTATTTGATGGGCAATTTGAAACCACGTTTAGCTTCCGGGCAATGTTTCGAAATTCCTACGCGCTCGACGTGTCTTGATGCTTCATCGCGCTCTATCTGAAGGTTATGGGTTGACACGCCAGATGACACGACGGTTTCCGGATCTCACTAGCGTCCGTACGCTGGTCAGGCATTCTCGTATCGAAGGCCTGAGACGTCTGATGACAAGATGGGTAGAGTCAGTTCAGTCAATTTTTTGAAGCCTCGGATGAAATTTTGAATCGAGACTAGTACCTTCGAACGCCGCGTGGCAAGTTCCGCGCGGACAAAGAAGTCTATGTTGTACACCAGAGCGTCCTTATCTATCATGTCCTATCGGCGATGGTGTCTGGATAATTTTATTGTACTTGGCTAGGGCCCTTGCCAGATGGTGGTACACTCTGGGTTGGGTTTCAGCAATCTCCCAGGCCCAGGCCCGGCCCACCCTGAGCCCACTCCACATGCTCGAGTGCATGTATTTATGTAGTCCATGAAGGCAAGATGCTATGGCCTCTAGGCATCGGTCGGTCACTCGATTTATCAACTGTGTCATCCCGGATTCTTGTGGTTGGTCGATTCCACAAGTCATCGGACATGGTGGAAAACTCCGCAGAAACTTGTAAGTTGCCTTCTTCCTGCAACCGGATGAACGTCGATTTGGGATCATTGAACCTCCTCTTTTGTTCTTTCTCCTTGGTGTGACTGCCCGTCGAAAATTCCACCCTTCCCATCGGTGACAAACTTGTGGACACGTAATGATCGAACAGCAGCTCGACTGTCAAGCCACAAACGTAGCCTATCTAATACATCTGAAGATGATTCGGGTCGTGCTTCAAAGAAGACTGGTGAGCTCAAACACCGGCAGAGGCGCATCAAGCTGTCCAGATGACTTCTGTGGGAATTTAAAATAACGCGTCTTTTCCCATACAATGCAGCACCTATATTTCAAAACATGAAGGCCGGTCTAAAATTGAAATGGTTGGAGCCCATTGAGGATACTTGTTTGCACGGCATGTGCGGTGATCCGAGTCCGAGCTCAAAGATCGCAGCTTTTGATATCGTAGAGTCCTGGCCCTTCAATAGCTTTGGATACTTGAGATCATCACTGAGGTTTATTTCTTATGTGATACTTATTTTTAGGATGGAACGTTGATTAGAGTCAAATCTGGCAAGAAATTTCCGGCCAATGCAGATGATTGGAAGCTGTGGGCCGGCAATGTGCCCAAGAAACTTCAGGAAGCTCACGCGAATGGATTTGCGATCGTCTTGCTGAGTAACCAGAACTTTAAAGCGCCCAAATACCGTAAGGACTTCGAATCGAAATTGATCCAACTTGCTAGAACGGTGAGCTCGATCTGGCTATAGCCCGATTCTCGTACTATATCGATATGGAACAAGATTGTTACCAACACTCAACCAAGTCTATCTGCTTGATTCAAGCTTAGCGTCCCATTGCGGGTCTTTGCTGCTCGTGAAAAAGACAAGTTTCGAAAGGTACGCTACAGTTGGACTATTATATTGATACTTCCGGAATATTGTAGCCAAAGCCAATATTGCTACTTCCGATTAGCCACTCACTGGGATGTGGGATGAGTTCGTGGCAAATTGGAATGGGGGGATCAAGCCGAGTAATAAGTGGTCATCGTGTCAAGATCAACTATCGAACAGCATCTGACATCTGTTTCAAAACTCGCGGGCTTTCCAGACCTCAGTGATTCATTCTTTGTTGGCGATGCTGCTGGCCGACCAGCGACAGACTCATCCCCAAAAGACTGGAACGATACCGACCGTAAATTGGCATTGAACGTCGGTGTTCCATTCTTGTTAGTCATCTATCTAATCACAGCTATCATAGCGGTGCCAGCATTCATTTTAATACCCACCCATTTCAACTTACCTTGGAGTACATAGCACACCCGAAGAATGGTTTGGCGGGAAACCAAAGAGAAAAGACTTCGTTCTCAGCGGATTTGACCCGCTGAAGTTTGACCATGATCGTATGTTGATCATAACTTTGTTTTATCGCGATCCAATGTTTACATGTGCGAAAATTAGAGCCTATGCTTACTTATTGACGGTTTTTTTTTCATGAATATTAGAACCGATATGGCATCCATCTACCACTCCACTGGCGTTAGGACCCCTTTTAGAAAGTGGTGTTACACCGAAGCATTCGCCTTGTGAAATAGTTTTGTTTGTTGGCCCACCTGGCGTTGGTAAAACTACTTGCTTTGAGAATTATTTCATGCCTCGCGGATATCGACATGTGGTTTGTTGAATTTTTTTTAATTCAACCGCACAAGTAGTTGTATTGACTCACTTCCACGTCTGTATCTCTACTCGACATTCTGGGGGAATTGTTTTGATCGGCGGGTAATTACTAAAGAATCAAGACACTCTCAAGAGTTTTGGTGACTGCCTCAAAGCGACTATTGAATCAATTAGTTCTGGTCGATCGTGTGTTGTTGACAACACTAATCCAAGCAAGCAAACTCGCTCAAGCTACATCTTGACCGCCCAAAAGCTACGCTGTCCGATCCGATGTGTATTCTTCACCGCACCAATCGAATTAGCGCAACATAACAACGTATATCGCGCGTGTATTAAAGCTTCTAGACCGCTATTGCCCATCCTGGCTTTCGCGAGTTATGCCAAGAACCTCGAAGAGCCTTCGGTCGACGAAGGCTTCGATGAACTCAAAAAAGTTCATTTCGTGTTCGAAGGCTCGGCGGAGGAACGTGCATCTTGGGATAAGTACTTACTATGATCTACTATATTCAGTCGCCCGAAACAGATTTCGCCTGCAAGTCGGCGAAAGGTTTTTTCTTTTCTTTGCTTATTCCAAAATCAGAACCTCCAGCCTTTTTTTTCGTCTCTACTTTTTTGTTATTGTTATCCTGACACCATATTGTGTTTGCAAGAAAGCTTGGATCATTTCGCTTTTTGGATTTTTTGTAATCCTTGCAACTTATGGATTTACCTTTCTGCTTGATTAATTTCAAATAATTTTCTGCCTCAGGTGTCCCACAAGCGTAACAAAGCCCGCGAGCACCCGTAGGCGTGAGGTGCAAGCGGGGCTTATGCCTGACCAACACAAGTCGGCATGAGGCTATGTTGAGAATAAGCGGAGGAATTTTTTGTTTTCAATTTTAAAATCACTCAATTTTTTATGACTCTCATCCTTTGATCCCAGCTGAGCGCTGGTATGATGTCCTGAATCCTGTCGATTCAGTTTCATTACAGTATCTATTGTACTTTTTCTATCTTTTTTTGAAAACATACCCTTCTTGTAAGTTTTTCGGTCCTTTAGTGTTTTCTCTTTTAGCCATTAAAGATTTTAATTTGCCAAATGACCGTTGAGAAAGAAAGCCATACCCTCGTATGAAACGGAACACATGTGAAAGATCTACTCATAAGTAGAGAGATCGAGAGAGAGAGAGAGAGATCGAGAGAGAGAGAGAGAGAGAGAGAGGGGAGAGAGAGATCGACCAAGAAAAAAAAAGCGAAAACGATCAACAAAGAAGTAAGCAGAAATAAAGAGAACCCAGCCAGATTCATCCTCATTGATCTCTCTCGCTGATACACAACTGTTTTTTTCATTCAGAGATAGAAAGAGATCGAAAGGAAAAAACGTCGACTGAAGAAAAAGAAAAGCAAAAACGATCGACAAACAAGTGAGCAGAAATAAAAAGAACCCACCTAGATAGATCTTCATCAATCTCTCTCGCTGATACACAACTGTGTTTTTTTTTTTTCATTCAGAGATAGAGAGAGATCAAAAGGAGAAAACGTCGACCGAAGAAAAAAAAAAGCGAAAACAATACAGAGAGAGATTGAAGGACCGAGAGATCAACAGAGATAGAAAGATCGACGGAGACAGAAAGAAATTGACGGAGACAGAAAGAGATCGACGGAGAAAGAGAGATTGACGGAGAAAGAGAGAGAAAGAGAGATTGACGGAGAAAAAAAAGTGAAAAAGATTGACAAGCAAGTGAGTAAGTAAAAATAAGAACAACCAAAACAACCCACCAGGATACAACAAGCTTGCTAATATCAATGTAATCAATTTTTTTTCTTTCCAATCTGGAAAGTCATTCAGATACCGCAGAATGCCACCAACCAAAAACAAGTCAACAAAAACTAGCTTGGCAAAGAAATGGATCCGAATGGAGGAGACCGAATTGCAACAAGCTATAGTCGACGACTGCTTGCCACGCTACCCTGAGAATGAGCCCCCTAAGCCGGTCCAAGTTGATGCGGTGGCAAATCTAGTTAAAGGAAGACATACTTTTGTTATGGCCGGAACCGGTTGCGGGAAATCTCGTATCTCAGAGATGTACTACAATCTATTCGCCAAAACAAAAAAGGCCGTCATCCTCGTTTTGAATCCGCTCAATGCCTTGGGAGATAATCAAGTCAAAGAGAAGGTTGCCCAGAAGTACACAGCTGTCAACCTGAAAAATCAAAACTTCACTCCAGAAGTTGCCGCCGATATACAGAAAGGGACATACAATTTCGTCTACCTAAGTCCTGAGGTCTTCTTGAACAATCAAACATTCTCCGAAATCTATCACAACCCAACCTTCCAAGATCGCCTTGCGTTGATTGTTGTCGACGAAGCACACATGCTGTACAGCTGGGGTCTTGTTGCAAACAAGGAAGCAAAAAAGTCGTCTGCACACAAGCAACATCAAGATCGAGCCGTATTTCGGCCGTCATACGGGGACCTGGGCCGTCAGATGATGGCTACGGAGAATACTAGAGCTGGTCGCTACGCATCCGGATATCCGCGCGGATGCGGATATCCGGCTGCTTTTTCAGGCCAAATGGCCATCCGAATCCGCATCCGCACCCGCTAGCGGGTATCCGTCGGCCGCAGCGGGTATCCGAGCGGGTATCCACGGATACCCGCCCTTTAAAGGGCCGGCGAGGCGGCTGGAAGGAAATCCTTCCAGCCGGCCATCAGCCCTTCCGGCCTCGGGTATCCGTTGAGATACCCGGGTATCCGCTGGAAAATCAGCGGAAAGGGCACATCCGCACCCAAACCCGCATCCGCTGGCGGGTATCCGCTATAGCGGGCGGGTATCCGCCAGCGGATAACGGATATCCGCAACGGATATCCAGAGACCAGCTCTAGAGAATACACCTGTCCTACTCCTTTCGGCAACCTGTCGACCAATAGCTATCACTGAAATCCTCAAGAGCCTCAAAATTCCAGAGGACAACATCCATTTCTCCCATGCTGAACTTACCCGGCCTGAGCTTCAAATCCTTCGATTCCCAATGGAATCTTCCCTCAAATCAGCAAATGATCTAATGAACATGTTTGGAAATAAGAAAGAAGTTAACAGTGAAGATATCGTACCAACATTACTCTACTCGGGTACAAGAAATGCGACATTCCAAGTTATGAAAGTCGTGAACAGTGCTCATGGGACAGCTGGTGAAGAGTATAACCCAGACAGCGCATTAATTCGAAGATATCATGCTGGTACCGGTGATATGGACAAGGACGACACAATCTTGGGTTACAAACGGGGCGACTTTCCGTGTATATCGTCCACGATGGCCTTAGGGCTGAGCCAAAACTGGAAACGAGTGCGAAGGGTGATCCATATGGGCCGCGGCAGCGGTGGGCCGCTACGCTACGCTACGCTTTTGGCCCAAAAAGCGTAGCGTAGCGGCGCTTTTTTTTCATCAAAAAACCGTAGTGTTAGCGGTTTTTTAGCGGTTTTTCGCTACGCTACGCTGCGCTACAGCGCTTTTAGCGGAAAAAGCGGCAAAAAACCGCTAAAAACCGCTGTAGCGCAGCGTAGTGGGCCCTTTTTTGTGGCCCACACGCGTAGCGTTAGCGGTGTCGTGGCGGAATTCCGCTACGCTACGCTAATCGCTAATAGCGATTCCGCTGCGTTACGCTACACTAACCGCTACGGTTAGTGTAGCGGCCCACCGTTGGCCGCGGGGATCCGTCGTGTATCAACCAGATGATTGGACGTTGTGGACGTGATGGCAAGCCAGGATTAGCGATTCTTTTTGTGGAACGAAAGCACAAATTTGGCTTGAACACTCCTGAGGCAATCAAGAAAGCCGACAAACAGAAAAACGATACACAAATGGATGCCCTTGCCATCACACCAGTCTGCCTCCGGATAGCTTTTTCAATTGATAACAAGTCAGTTGAATACTTGTATAAACTCTTGAGACCTACATGTACTTGTATAAATTCTTGAGACCTACATGATGTACTGACATTTGATTGATATAAATTTAGGCATGGGTATATTCCAATGGACACAAACGATTTGAACTATCTCCATGAAGAAAGCCGGGAAGTCAATGAGGGTTTTGCTAGATGTAAATGTTCAAATTGTTTTCCTGAGGAGGCTCAATTCTTGAAGGTTCGAATGAAACAAATGAATCAGTCAAACTTTGATGCGATACTGAACAATCCAAAAGATGTACCCGGTCCACTTCCTGAAGAACAACCAAAAATTAAACGCACCCGAGTTACCAAACCAAAAGAAAGAAAACTCAGACCAATCGAGCTCCAGGTTTCACTGACACTTGTCAAATGTTTCAATCAGTTTTTTGCCGATACTTACGGAAGGCCACGATTGTTTTTACCAGAAGAACTATTTGGGCCGACCGAGGCAGATGCCATTGCCAAAAAAATAGATCAAGTTAAGACTAAAAATGATATTGCTAAGATCATTGGCGGAGAGCAACTGGAGGGCGAGTTGGCCTTCTTACAAGAAACGATCGACAGCTTCCGAGCGGGCCCTGACTATCAAAATTACTTAAGAGAACAAGAGGAATACTCAAAACACATTGATAACGAAATGGAACGGATACAAAATTTGAAGAGAAAGATCCCATCGGCATCAGCATCAGCTCAGTCAAAAAACCCAGTGTTGCCAGTACAACTAGAATCCATCCGAACAATTTCAACACTCCCAAGACGTGATGCACCAATTGGAGAAGCAACACCAGTGACCGTCCAAGCAACAAAACCGAGGGCCACCCCAAGCCAAGTCGCAGAAAACAAACGCTTACGAGCTGAAAAGAAGACAAAAAAACAGTCGGAGGATGAGAAAAAGCGGTTAGAAACAAGAAAAAAGTGGGAGGCTGACAAGATTGTTCTGGAGGAACTTAAAAAGACTTACACTGATAAGAGGGCCAGGCTTGGGTAATTAAGACTCACTGCCACTGTTGTTTTCTTCATCTCTTCCATCATTTTCATCATCTCCACTGCCGCCATTGTCACCACTGTCTTCTTCACTTGGCTCTGAATCTCCTTCCGAGCTGACATCTGAATCAATTTGTTCTGGCACTAGTTGATCGGTGATTTCACTATTCCATTTCTTCATTGGTGTAGGTCGGAGTTTATTGAGGGGTTTTCCCTTCCGCAGAAAGAGTTTCTTCATTTTTTGTATTCCAGTAGCATAAAAGTCTTCAGTTTTCTTTGGAATGTGTTCATCGAGCTTAGTAGCAATGTAAGAAATGTCGTTTTGTCGACACATACGCATGCAGTTGTTGAGTGAGACTAGATTAATCTGATTGTAATGTGATTGAGCAATTGTTTCCTTTCCGCAGTCACTTAATAATCCACAAGTCAAGTCTTGGAGCTAAGAAGAATAAAGTATCTGTTATCAATACTTATTTGCCAGTTTAATATATAAGGAAACTGCATACCAAAGGGACATTTGGAGAATATATGTTTTTGAGTCGATCGATGTTAGTACCTCGGCCGGAATTGTTGAAGAAATGTTTCAACCAGTAATTTTGGTTTTTGAGGTAGTGGTCCTTTGCTACAAAGTGCTTTTGTTTGCCACTAGGAGCTACAAACATTGAATGTTTTATTACCTTTCCAAGTCCCGGGGGTAAAATTTCATTGAGAAGTATAATCATTCGTGGGAGTTGGATTGAGTATTGAGTTAATTTTTTAATTCCCTGTGCAATGACAGACCATCGCTTCCATACGTTCATGAGCCGTCCAATATCTCCTGATTTCATTGCTGAATTCCCCTCCACAACTGTTGCGAAATCGGACAGTCTCAAAAGCAAATTTGATAGCTTCGGCGAGGTGTGAATCGTGGCATTGCGTTTAGCCTCAATGGAGAAGAATCGCTCGTAAGTTTCATCGACTATTTGTTTGATTCTCAGACTGGAAATTTTTGGAAGCTCCTTGGTGAGATGTTTATCTTGAATTCCCATCACCAGCCTGAAAATAGAACCAAAACATCAATAAACAACAAGCCAAGATCACCCAAAATATTCAAAGACAGCTTACATGAGACAATATACCAAGGTTGCTCTCTGAATCTTTTCAATATTTCTAATCATGAGTGTGAAGTCTTTTTTGTCTAGCATATTGTTTGATGGTATACCCAAGCCATCAAGAAATCGCCATGCGCCTGCGTCACGAGAGTCTGATTTATCTCCCACGTGCTTCGAGTAGATAGCCTGACTGATATTCCACAACGTATGCGCACCACCCAACATTGTTAAAACATTCATCAGACTCTCTTCTTTGTGCTTGCTTGGTGTTCGTTGCGTTCGTAAAGTCGTGAGATTCGAACAGGTAGCAAGGTCACCATCAATAAGTTGAATTCGAGAGGCGAAATCAGACATAGTCAAATTTGACTGATTGACAATAGCCTGGAAAACCTCGCCAGCTCCTTGTGCTGAGTTGTCTGCAGCAATCATGAGTTTTAACATTGTTATGTCGGGTCTCTCACTTGATATTTGGTCGACAACAGGTGGCTTAGTATTGATTGAAACATAGGATTCAGCTGGAATGGCTAGATGTTCGAGAAGGGCTGAAGTAATCTGGCTCTTGAGGACAAGCTCCCACTGCACTTCTTCTTTAGCTGTTGGTAATAACATTCTGGAGTGGACATCTACACTTTCTACATTCAACATTGCCTGGTGATAGCTTTCAATGGTGAGATCAGAGGACGATACCGACGACACAAGTTTTGGGCTAGGGTGGTGGACGTAGCCCCAGGTACCATGAAACATCCTACTAGAGTGGCCAACAGATTTGGTATGGACCCTCTGTTCAAAATCAAGGTTATCGAAACATAGAAAAGATCCCAAAGTCGGCGCAAGTAGTTTCCCAATCTTGGTAGAGATCCGAAGGCTAGATCGGCGGCTAAGCTTATTGAGTGCATGATGAGCGGTTTTTCGAGAGGAAGAGAGTCCCACATAGTTTAGGAATAGGTTCACCCGGTTGGTGACCCCACATGCAAGGAAAGTCAGGGAGTTCGCGAGCTGATGTCCATTATTTCTACGGTTTTTCACAAATGCCACCATGGAGCAAATGGTTTTTGCAACCTATAATTTTGAAATAAAATCCAGTTAATCAATTTTTGATAACATGATGCAGTGACAATTGAAAAATAATCAAATTACCATGTAAGCTCGTTGATTACAATCAAAGGGCAAAACATCATTCAAATCATCGCCAATCGCATCGGTTTCTACATGTGCTGCTGGAATCGGATCCTCGCCATCGTCTGAGTCATCCTCACGTTGGTTGGTATCAGTGTTGCTGTTTGCTTGAATGGCTAGCTTTCTGTAGATCAGTTGAAATAGAAAGGGCATGTGTTCTGTCACCAGTTCATCGTCTCGTAATTTCTTTGATGATGGAGTAAAAAGTTGCTCGGTGATTTTGTTTGTATTGTGGTACGTGCCATCGGGGTAAGCTCCACTTGGTGGTTTTTGTGATTGAACAATTTTTTTGGCCTGGTTTTTCAACAGCAAGGCAGCAATTAGTGATTGAAGAATAAAAAAGTAATTAAAAATAGGAAATGTTGGTCTGAAAGTGAATGCGATACCTGATCAAGTATAAATTTCTCCCACTGAGCTTTTCCATCATTATTTTGGCAAACAAACAAGCGGATTACTTCTAACAGCTTTAATGTTGATTTCCATCCTGTCTTAGTCCTCCAGTAACGTCGTTGAATAGCCATGCCTATATTATCGCTTGTCAGGAAGGAAGCGAGGAACGATTTCGGAGTATGATTCATTTGAGCGATGACACTACATATAGCCTTGAGCTTGGAAGTCTCTGTCCTCTTTGTTCTTTGGAATCTGGTCCCAGCGGGTCATACCATTGTTGTCTTGCTTACGACCGCTTGCGAGGTTGGAAACGGATGCTTGCGAGGTTAGAAACGACAAAACAACTGCTCGCGAGGTCAGAAACAACTGCTTGCGAGGTGAGAAACAACTGCTCGCGAGGTTAGAAACGTATGATCGCGAGGTTAATAACGTATGATCGCGAGATTCGTAATCGGATGATCGCGAGGTTAGAAACGTATGATCGCGAGATTCGTAGTCGGATGATCGCGAGATTTGTAATCGATCATGTTGGAGGTTTTAGTTGGAAATGGAATCGGTTTGTCAATGAAAACATAGCAAACCAATACTTTAGCATTTGTTCAGTCTGGAGAGGTCTGGAGGCTTCAACAAAGCGTACCTGTATCTCCAACTTTCGAACGATCCAAATCGGTTTGCGTTTGAGGTGTTGATTTGATCGGTCAGTGAGGTGTTGGTCAGGTTGTATGCGCAACAGAGACTGTGTGCGGCGGGTAGAGAGAAGCATTAAAAAAAAGACAGCCAATGAGAAAAAGGCAAAAACCATAGAAAAAAAGAGAGGTGCTATAAAAAAAGAGCACTCCGAAAAAGCCATGGCCTTGCTACTCAGCGGCCACGGAAAATCATGAAACTCAAAGTTTCATGAATTTATTTTATCATGAAGGGGGATACATAATAAATTTCTGAATTGACAGTTTGATAAAGAAAAATACAAGATTCAAACTATGAAGAAAAAAAAAAAACTGATTGAAAACTAAGGGCTGCAGGTGCTCACAGCATCGACTGCCACCAAAGCTTGCACATTCCCTCAAGCGGAAGTGCTTCATAATTCCCAAGTCCTCTCCCTGCGGGAGAGTCCCTGGTGCTTGCACACTCGACAAGCGGCTACAGTGCACCACGCCGCAGCAGGGACACGGACTTGTGTTAAGTTCGGGTGTCCCAGGGCTTTCAACTTCTTTCTCAGCTCATGCAACGGTCCAGTGCTCGGTTGGCATCACCGATGGGGCAGAAGGGAGTGACTGGCGGTCCACGTGATGGGCGGCTTGTAGGACCTACAAACTGCTCCGGTTCTGAATATGAAC